AGGGTGTAAGGTTTTAGGGTTTGGGGTGTAGGGTTTAAGGGTTTAGGGCTTTGAGAGTAGAGTGTAAGAGTTTAGAACTAGCTAGGGTCTCGGTTCGGGTTCAGGGGCGATGAGTTCAGGCACCCCAGTCAAGACAACAAGAGGGACGACGGTCGACGACGATGCCGATGACGTGGTGACCGTAATCGCGATCAAGACTACGACGATGCATCGTCGGCATGAGGTCACCGCGATGAGCGTCAGCGGTATGTCCGTCATGAACACAAAATCTTTATCGCCTGATTCCTGCTTATCTTTGCAGTAGTCATGTTCGGTATCGTCGGATATCAGCACCACCACCTCCTCGTGACTGCATACATCGCTACCGCCACCGGCACATTACCGCCACATTACCACCACCATTCGCAGCAGGCAGCAGCAGCACCACCAACTGCAGCAGCAGCAACAGCAACAGGCACAATCACTGAAGCAACAGTGGGGCCAGTCGTGCAACGATAGGAACCCTAAAAGCTGAACATTAATTATATTCCTAGGTAGTATGAAGGAGACGCCTTGAAGGGGACCCATAATAACCCTACTTGTGGCCTTCTTAAAGTTTAAAAGGAGGGTCTACATCCCCAAGCGTCCCCCTAACCCTAACTCCTATAGTGAAAGTAGGGTTAACCTTAAACCCTAACCCCCCAACCCTGAATCTTAAATCCTAACCCTTAAGTAGGTACTATAAGCCCTATATAATCCCAATATACTCCCAAAGGTTACCCCCCTAGTTCCAAAGGATACTGGACAAGTAGGTGAATTATAGGCCCCTACACATCCATGTACCCAAATAGTGTATACTTTGGCCTTGCTGTCGTCCCTACATAGGTGTTTTAGGGCCAATGTATATACTTTTCGGGTACATGGACCCTTATCCCCTAAACCCGAAACCTTCGTGGTACCCTAACTCCTACCCAAAACCATAAACCCTACAAACCCCAAACCCTGAACCCTACACCCCAAAACCCTGAAACCCTACACCCCAAAGCCCTACTGCGCGCCATCCTCTGCCAAGGCGTTGGGCCTTCTCCGCCATGCACATCTCTTAGACCTCTGGGAGGAGTCGAAGTGCGATCGTGCCTGGGTTTTGGCAGTTGTGAGTCGGAATAACTTGTAATACTACTTATAGTAAACCCAAAAAAAGTTGGAAACCGGATTAAGGACAAATAGTGCTGCGATTCCCTATACGTTACTCTTCAGGATTGAGGCTATTGGGTTTTCAACTTTTGGGCTTCTACTACAATATTATACTCTCCCATTTTCGTGTGTAAATATGACCGAACTGTATAATCTTCCCTCAATCCCTGTATTGAAGTATTGGTTCGGGCCCTTAAATCAGTCCCTTTGGAATCTCCCAAACCTCAAACTTTGAATTTCGAAGAGCAGATGCTTAGCGGTTCAGGGTTGGGTTTTGGGTTTAGGCTTTAGGGTTTTAAAGGTTAGGGTTAAGGGTTTGGCTTCAGGCATAGTTGGACCTGAAGAAACCAAAATCATGCTTACCTGTGTCCCCAAACCCCACAAATAGTAGGTCATGACCCCTTATTTAGTGGGTAGAACCCCTAAAACAACAGGTTTTTGGATCCCCAGGTGAAGCCCTAAGCCCTAAACCCTAGAACCCTTTAATCCCAAAACCCTATAGACCCAATATAGTAACCCTTCAAGGAACCCTAAAAACCGTAGTTTTTTGCATCTTGTTATGAATTTCTTCCAGAAGCCTTGAGCAAAGGCAGGCTTAGAAGGATCGAGCTGGGGAGTTGCGATCCTATGGTTTTTCGGATTTCAGGCTTTTGCGCTTGCGTCTATATAGGGCTTAAAGGTTTAAGGGTTTAGGGTTTGGGGTTTAGGGGTTTAGGGTTTAGGGTTTACAGTAGAAGCCAGCAAATTGGAACATCATTTTCCTCATGCCCACAAGGTAAAGTATGAGGGATCCTAGCGCGAATCCTGCTAAACCCATGTTCCAACTTTCTGGGATTCGCTGTAGTGTTTAGGGATGTTGAGGGTTTGGGGTAAGAGTCTAGTCAGGATTCCGTTTGCAGACCGCTGCTGCTTATAAACCATCGCAGATCCATGTTGCGTGCCTTGATGTGCGTCAGTTGCTTAAGATGCCCACGAAACTAAGTGGAGGCTGTTCAAATTCGGATTATCTGCTGGGGTGCTGCTTCCACTGAGCTCTGCGTGCATTGTGCATTGAAGGGAAACCTGCACAGAACGAGCCCAAGTGATGGTGCGCACATGGTTGAGAGATTTTCAGAAAAGGGCCCTCGACGGCTTGTTTTTACCATCTCATGCACCCTCAACCCTACACCCTAAACCCTAAACCCTAAACCCCTAACTTCGGCAGCACTTGTGGAAACGCCAACCCGCCGCTTTATGCAGGGTTTGATGGGGTTAGGTTTCCTTTAGGGCCGTAGACCTTAAAGGCGTAGTGTCTCCGGGTTCAGACTTGAGTTTGTGCCGTTTATGGCCCCCAAAGTTATAGTGTCTCCGGGTTCAGACATTAGTTTGTTCCGTCTGTGGTTGAAAAGATGGTCATGACGCTGGAAGACCAACAAGTGGCTTTCTGAAGGCTTTGATGGGGTACTACTACTACTACTACTACTACTACTACTATTACTACTACTACTGCTAGGGAAGGATGGATGAAGGAAGGAGACAGGGAGGGAGGGAGTCAGCTCTTGAAGAAAGTTTGTTTTTGCACAAGTGCAAAAATCAGTTCTTTAGGTTTTAGCTTGGGCATTACCTTCTTTATAAGAAAGCATATGGTGATGCCACAATCGGTAACCAGTATATACGGGTTATAATATAGTCTATTGGGTGATATCCCAGACGGCATCCAGCACGTGCAATTTTTCGGGTAAAGCCTGCAAGTTGACTCGCACTTTTTATAGTAAAATATGTTGTGTGCTACCAGGAATGGTAAGCAGTACATGCGTTTTTTTTGGGGGGGGTTAACCTGTGCATTGTCTAGATGTGTCTATAGTAAAATAGATTGTGATTATTGTGTCATATCACGAACGGTAACCAGCACATACGAGTTTTAAGGTTGAGACTGCATACTGACTAGCATTGTTTGCTGAGCCCGAAACCCTAAACCCTGAACCCCAACCCCCAATCTCTAAACCTTAAACCCTGACTGTTCCCCAAATCCCTAAACTCTATCAGTTCCAACACAAGGCCCACATTCAGGAATCGAGATACTTCCAGACCCCTTCGGTGTATAAGTTTGTATAAGGGTTTTAAGAGACGGTTTAGGGCTTAAGTTAAACCACAGTGAGGAGCCAGTAATAAGTTAAGGTACATTCCTAAACTTAAAGCTTTTGGTTTAGGAGCCCCTAAACCCTAAACCCTAAACCGAAAACACTGTCTGTGAAGACCGTCAGGACTTCGACGATGTGCCCCGCGTCGCGCACATCAATTTGGCAATCGATGACAGCGAGGCTGGGCTGCAATCTTCATGGGTTTAGAGTTTAGGGTTTAGGGTTTAGGGTTTAGGGGTTTAGGTTTGAGGGGTAGCTCTGTTAAGGGTTAGAATTCTAGGTTCCTGAGTTGTACTCTTTTGCCCTTTTTCGTATTGGGGGGTCCCTTATTACAACCAAAATGTAGGAGCACGTAAGGGGCTACTTGGGGACCTAGCATCAGCTCTGTTTGGGATTTAGAGGGTTCATTTTTGTTAGGGCCGTAACTGCTTCATAGTTATATGTGGCTGCATTGAGGACCTAAAGGCGAAGGGTTTTGGGGTTTGGGGTTCAGGACTTAGGTTTAGGGGTTGTGGTTTCGGGGTGGGCAGTGGTAAGCAGGGGCATAATACCGGTGCCTGACTTAGAGTTCTAAGATACAAATACCGCTGCTGTACTTATAGCAGTTCTAACTAAGTTCCAACATCGTCCAAGTGCAAGTATTCCAACTCTTCAGACAACTATCTCAGGATGAGCTTTTGCTAAGCCCTTAATCCTAAACTGATGGACCCAGGAGGTGGATCCGGAGCGCATCTTGCAAGCGATTGTTGAGGAGGTGCATTGGTTTTAGGTTTTTAGGGTTTAGGGCTTACAGGTTTTAGGTTTTAGCAACTGTCCAGGAGATGCTACTACACAGCCTTGGTTCAGGGTTTCTGGGTTAAAGGTAGCGGCCTCAACTAGTACTAACACGTTTTTTCGGGATCCCGAACATATTTCCAGTATTTAGCGCTCTCCAAAAAGCACTCTGTTTATGCAGTCCTCAATATCAGGGCCGTTCTGATCCTGTCAGTTTAAGCCGTAGACCCTGAACCCCAACCCCTGAAGCCTAAACCGTGGCAACAATCCTAATACTTGACAAGCCCCAGCGCCTCCGCACCATGTTGTGTACCCTGAATTTTCGAACCTAAGGTTCAGGGTTTAGGGCTTTTAAGATTTTTGGTGTGTCTAGGGTTTGGGGTTCAAGGGTTTGTAGGGCTTTTCGGGTTTAGGGTTTTTAAGATTT